TGAGTGAGGACCCGTCCTGCCTGTGGGCACCTCAGGGGCTTCCTGTGGCTGGGGCTGCTGGGATACTGGCACGCTCTGCTGGAGCACAACCACGGCCTTCTGGCGCTCGTGTATCTTCTGGTGGCGCGAGAGGTGGGTTTTGCGGGTGAAGCATTTCTTGCAGGTGGGGCAGCAGTACGGCCTCTCCTGCGTGTGGGTCCGCACGTGCCGATGGAGGTTATACGTACAAGAGAAGATCTTTTTGCAAAGGGTGCATTTCATTACAGGCTTCCTCAGAGATTTAGGGCTCTGCTGGCGGGAGAAACACGTGCTGGACAGGCTCGGGCTGTCCACCTCCTCCTTGGGCTGGGCCAGCCAGGGCCGCCCCCCTGTGTAGGTCCTGCTGCCCAGGCTGCGGACATCTCCACAGAGAGCCCCACAGAACTTCCCCCTGGGCCGGATCCTCAGCTCGGGGTGGACATTCCCCCAGACCTTGGCACCAAAGGCCCTGTCTTTTATGTGGATGCTCTGATGAAGGTCGAGGTGGCGTTTGTCCGCAAAGCTGATCTCGCATATGGCGCACTCATAGGGCCCCTCTTTGGCATGGCTCCGCTGGTGGATGATGAGGTTGATCTTCAGGCGGAAGCGCTTCCCGCACTCGGTGCAGGGGTGCGACCACTCACGCACATAGCCGCGCCGACAGTTGCCCATCAGCAGGCTGCTGCTCGAGCACCGGCTTGGCTTCTTCTTGCTCCTGGCCTTGCACTGCTCACTTTTGGGGCACTTGGGGAAATCTGTGCTAGAAGAGGCTGCAGAAACCTCTTGTAACACCTTGGGCTCCTCTTCCTTCACCTTGACCTTTTTAGGAGAAGCCTTGTGACATGGCGGTTCCTTTTCCATTAATAAACTTTCCTCTGAAACAGAATACAGGCTTTGGTGATTCACACTCCCCAGACAAACCCAGGTCAAGTCTCAAAGCACTGAGCAGGTTTTTACGTATCTCGGAGCTACCACCAAATGTGAGAACAGAGTTTGGAAAGGCACAAGTGGTGCCACCACAATGTCCTGAGCCACTCAGTGTGGTTTTGGGGGGTCCCAGGAAGAACCAGGCTGTAGTCTGCTGCCACACCAGCACAGCTGGGGGCACAGAGGGATCTGCCTCCAAAACCACCACACCAGTGACAGCCACAAGATGTAGCAGGAAAAAAGGTCATGGAAGAGTAACAGCCTGCAGTACTATAAGCTCTTCACTTCTGTCAAGCTTGGGACTGTCAGCAAACCCCAAATGCTGTGACCAAACGAGCCCTCCTTGTGAGCACTGTGGCAAAGTGCCCACCTCCCCTGCAGCCTGGCCATTGAGCTGGTGTAAGCTATGCCCAGTACCGGTGCCAGGAACAGGCTCTGAGCCCCTGATGAGGGAAGTGCTCTGTGTATTAGCTTAGCAAAGCTTCAGGACCAGAACAGAGGGTGTCTGCAGACAGCCACCCTGCTTCCTGCACCCCCTGCTCCCACCATGGAGAACAGGGCCATGCCACGGGAAGCTCAAGGCCGCTCTACGACAACACAGCAGAGCTGGAGGAAGGAAGCATGCTACCACTGCCAGCTCTCCCTCAGTTTCTGATAAAAGGAACCACAACCAGCCCGTAGCTCTTTCCACACAGATGGAGCTGAAATGGCCAACACCAGTCCCCTGCCTTGCTCAGTGATCAAAGGGAGGCTTGAAACTTTCTTCTCCCACCCCCTTTCCAGCATATTAGTGAGCTGGGAGCTGCTTCCTGCCCGTGGCACCCTGTGTCTCCCCAGCCTAGCGTTGCTCACTAGTGCTGGGCTCAGCCGGGTTCTCTTCCGTCTCTGGCTCTGGCCGATTCTCACTCCGCAGCTGTGCTTTTTGTGCACTCAGGGACATGACGTTCATCACCAGGATGGGGAGTTCTGTTGGCAGAGAAAAGCAATCGTAAAAACCCTTGGAGAGCTCCCATCTTTCTACTTAGTGGGATACTGTGTTGGGAGCATGGAGAAGAGTCAGAGAAAGCTGCAGCTCAAGAAGCCATGACATGTTGTGGCAGGGGAGTTTAGGTCGGATAATAGGAACATTTTCTTCATCAAAGGGTTGTCAAACACTGGCACAGGCTGCCCAAGGATGTGGTGGCGTCACCATCTCTGGTGGTATTTACAAGACTTGTAAACATGGTGCCTTAGGGACATGGGTCTGTGGTAGACTTGGCAGTGCTGGGTTAACAGTTGGACTCAATGATCATAAAGGACTTTTCCAATCCAAACAATTCTGTGGTTCTATGGAAAGCACGTGAGGTGTTAGAAGGAACTGGAGTGAAGCCACACACAAGCAGAGAGAGTGCTGGGAGAAGAGACACCGAGGTGCCATGTGCTGTCACCTCTGCAGAGCAGCCTTATCCCTCTTAAACCCTCCCCCATCAACTCCATGGGCAGCATTCCCACATTCCCTTGGGTTCAGGCCCTTGAACCCTTTCTGTTTTCTATGGCAGCACCTTGACAACACACCCCAAGGCTTCTCCTTTTCCCTGCTGATGCTCCTCTGAACCACAGTGACCTGCTGTGCCCTCTCCAATAGACCTGCTGGGAGCCCTCCTGAAAGCTGGGACAGGAGCAGCCCAGGGAAGTACATCCCCCCGGCACCCACCAAACTCACCTCTGTTACCTTCCATGGGGTCTTTATCTTTTCTCAAAGCCTTTTTCCCCTGCTTCACCTCTTCTGGTCTCTGCAGGGGCTTCTGACCATCCATGATGCCTGTCTGAGGAGCCTTCTGCCTAGCTCTACTGCGTGTCTGTGGGGGCTCATCACCCTCCCTGGCACGTCTCCGTGGGAGCTTCTGGCCATCTTTGGCATGGAGCTCCTCATTCCTCTCAGTCCGGGGGGGGACATCAGGCTTGGACCCGGTGTGCTCTGCTCAGGGGGCAAAGGACACTGTGTTTTATTAGGAACTGGCTGCACTTTTATCCTGTCCAACCCCAGAAGTGATGCTTCTCTCCCTACCCCTGGAGCTGGCAGGAAGTGCAGGTGACTGAACTGAGTTACTGAGAAGATCTTCAATAGCAGAAAGTGGAAATCTCCAAGGAGAGGAACAGCGCCTCTCAAGGCAACATCTTTTTTCTCTCTTCCTGCGAGCACTTGAGAAACCAGTCCCCAAAGACACACTTGGGGCTTGTACTGTTTCTGGTAGTGCTCCCCAAAGGATGGAGCCTGCCCTTTATGCCCACCAGCACTCACCTGGTCTCTCCTGGGTCTTCTTTCACCCCCAACTCGTCAGTCCTGCAGGAACGAGCTCTCCATCACAGCTCTGCCCGCACGTCTCCTCTTCTTCTGGCTCTGCCAGCGTCTGCCCGTCCCTTTCCAGCCTTTGCACTAAACAATTGATTTTCTACCTCTCCCATGCCATGCCCCCAGGCTCTCCTCCCTTCTGCTCCCCCCAGCACTAGCAGGGCTGCTCCAGCCTCCTCCTCCCACTGGAGGTTCCTAAGTTCCTCCATTCCAACTGTGTCTCCTCCCTCACTGAGGCAAGCAGGAGCATTTTTGGAAGCCCAGGATTCATGCATGAGATCAGGTGAAGGATTTCCAAACTGCACGGCAACAGGACTGGAAAGGTCTGTAAGAGCGAGGTCCCTCCACTCCAGGCTCCATCCCAGCCCCTCCCAACAGGCCTTGTCTGGTTTTCTCATGGGATTCATCTGACTGAGCATAAACATTCCTGATAAAGCCCAGACAGGAAGTGCCATGTCTCCCTGGCACCACCTCACCTCTGTTAGCTTCCATGGGAACTTCATCTTCTTCCAAAGCCTCTTCCACGTGGTCTTCCTCTGGTGCCTGTGGGGGCTCCTGCTCTTGATCCTCTCTGATACATGTTTGTGGGGACTCCTGGCCATCTTTGGTGCAGAGCTCTTCACCCCTCTCAATCCGGCAGAGAATGTCAGGCTTGGACACGGCATAGTCTGCTCAGGGGGCAGAGGACAGCATGTTTTGTTGGGAACTGCCTGCTCCTTTATTCCGTCAAGCTCCCAACCATTTCCAGGCAATCCTTCTCTCCCTAAGCCCATACGATGCAGAAAGGAGGTGCTGTGTTATTGCCCTGTGGCAGGACTCACCCACGAGCACGGCTGGAGCTCAGCTACAAAGAAGCTCTTAAGTAACAAAATGTGAACTAAAATCTCCACGGAGAGGGAAATGCTTTGTCTTGAACATTTTCCTCCCATTCCAACTCTAACAGTGACTTGAAGAGCAATTCTTGAGCTGGTGTCAGGACAGAAAACTCAGCTGAAGTCATCCAAGAACATGCTGGGTGTCCTTAGAAGGACTGAGCACCATTAGGCTGGTTCTTCACGAAGGCAAATGGAAACTTCCCTGCCACTTTATAGAGGGGCTAAACACACTGAACACAAGAACTAGGTCAAGGTACAATTATCAGACTTCACCCAAGTAATTCCTGCACAGTGCTGGAAGCTCACGATGGTTCCCTGACCCTGGAAACCCATTTGCATTGTGTTTCCACTGGAAACATCATCCCACATAGATATTTTTTTACGATAGATATTGTTTGTGTTACTATTGCTACTATTATTTTATTTCCTACAGACATTTCCTTATAGAATCATAGAATGGTTTGGGTTGGAAAGGACCTTAAAATCATCCATTTCCAACCCCCTGCCATGGGCAGAAATGCCTCCCACTAGACCATGCCACCCAAGACTCTGGACTCTGTCAATTCTTGATAAGCAGAAGGGAGGGAAAACAGGCAGTTTCTGCTCCCTACAAACTGTGGCAGGCAGCATCCAGCACACCCTGTGTGCCTTACCCAGGGAGATCAGTGTCTCGTAGTTGCCCCTCATCACAGCCCTGTACAGATCCTTCTGCCAGCAGTCCAGTCGCTCCCACTCCTGCTCATTGAAGTACACTGAGATATCATCAAACGTCACTGGCACCTGGAATCATAAGGATCACACACTCAGTGACTTCCAATGCGGTTAAATAACTGGAAACACACAACCACACTGGAAACCTGCGTGTGGTTGGCTTGGCTTTGGCTGCTGGAGCTCAGTGTGCCCAGCCACATCAGGGCTGCTGCACCCTGAGTCCAGGACTCCCAGATGCGAGTGCTTCCAGGGCGGGATGCCGTTCCGTGGGGGATCTCACCCCGGGAGCTGGGGGGCAGCCGCAGGATCCAGAAGTTCCTGTTCTTGAGGAGGTTCTCCACATTGTTGAGCCGCTGCTGGAGTTGCCCATAGTCCTGCAGGAGGCTGCCCAGGGTGGCCAGGTTGCTGCCCAGCTCCCCGACCAGGTTCTCGCATGCCAGCAGCCTCCGTTCTGCCCTCTCCGTCCTGCTCCACAGCTCCTGCAGCTGCTGGGCATTCACCTGCCCTGCCGCAGCCCGCGGCCCCATGGCCTGCACCGCCTTCTGCTGGGGGGCACCCAAGTCCCAAGGGAGAAATGAGAACTGAAGGGGGAGGCCC